TCCAGACACCTGTCTGATTCAGGCCTGTCTGAGTGGACTAATCCAGACACCTGTCTGATTCAGGCCTGTCTGAGTGTACTAATCCAGACACCTGTCTGATTCAGGCCTGTCTGAGTGGACTAATCCAGACACCTGTCTGATTCAGGCCTGTCTGAGCGGACTAATCCAGACACCTGTCTGATTCAGGCCTGTCTGAGTGGACTAATCCAGACACCAGTCTGATTCAGGCCTGTCTGAGTGGACTAATCCAGACACCTGTCTGATTCAGGCCTGTCTGAGTGGACTAATCCAGACACCTGTCTGATTCAGGCCTGTCTGAGTGTACTAATCCAGACACCTGTCTGATTCAGGCCTGTCTGAGCGGACTAATCCATTGCGGATGCACACCAGTATCACCAGCAGTACATTTACTGTTAATTACCATCATTCATCATCTACACTGTTTGTATGGTTACGGTAATTTCTCTTCATGCATTCAATATATTATTATTACAGTCTTACCGTTGTCATTGTAGGAGTGGACACGTTGTTTGCAGAGCGCACAACCTAGGCTACACTTGTGAGAAAAAAAGCTTTGGTTAATTTCATTCCATTTACGAGTTGTCAATTCATTCATTGTCTTTTGTTTGGAGCGCTCCTGTCAATCTTGTGTAAGGACACGCACCTGATTATACATAGAAGTAGGCCTAGGCTACCTGTCCTGCCTGTAAATGTAGGCCTATAAATGTACCCATTTGGGGTTCTGATACTATTTCTGATTGTCTTAACTCACCATCACTGTGGAGCTTCTGAAAGTAATTTTTGCTTTGCCTCAAAAAGCAAGTAAACGAAGTCTGTTTTTATATCCGTTGAGAAGGACAAAAGTTCCTCAACGTAGCCTATTTGAAAACTCTTTCCAGCTCTTTCCCTTTCGATAACCACTCAGCATGAAAGAGGAAAAATAATGTCATGCTCTGATCTGGTGGAAACGTCATAAAATAGGCCTACCTGATTACTTCTTATCCCTTGCAAATATAGCCTACAGCTGTGTCTGTCTGTCCAGAGCTCACTGGTGCCTGAAACTCTGAGGGCCCAGAATCATTTATACAAGGTTGCTTGTTTGCTCGTGCAAGCTTCAGGCGAGACCCAAGTTAATAGTTGATACAATGTTTCAAGTTCTTTGCAGACAGGCCATGCATAGCCAATGTGATTTATAGGATATTTATTTTTTATCAGGATCTTTTCTACCTGCGGGTTGCAATGCTTTTATTTGCTGTCTTTATGTAGGCTATTTTTACATATTGGCAATGGCAATAGAAGTTACTTTTAGATTTGTATCATTTTCATTTAGATAGAAATTTTGATTAACCACTTGACATTGATTTTGAGATATGAAGACTTTTATTATAAATGAAATTAAACTGTTCCACAAAAATGTGCATATGAACATCATAACTGGCGCGCAGATCAGTAGAAATGGTCCGGTAACTTGGCACTCCAAATGGAAAAGGTTGCCGACCGCTGGTGTAGCCTATTACAGGCAACTTGAGGAGCGTAACGTTAGAATCTGTGAAGGCAAGCAGCAGCGGGCAGCGAGAGGAGGGGGGTCGGAAACAGTTTTCTTTCTTCTGGTTAGGCTATCTTGATCTCTGGCTCCCTCTTTAGTAATTTGTGAGTCTTCATTTTTAATCGCAGTGCTTAAAGCATCAGACAAAGTAGCCTACGTATAGTTGATTATATTAGAACAAAGGGTGCGTCTATATATGGAAAAATACACGTTTTATATATGTCGACCAATGGAGTGGTCCAAAGAACAGATGACTCTCTGTCGACCAATATTTTATTTAGTCGGGGGACAGCCCTACTCTTGTCACGTCTCCCGACATGGCTGTTTTTTTATTTCTACTTCCTACCCAGACATACAGGAAAATGTCCCAAATGGCACCCTATTCCCTATATAGTGCACTACTTTTGACCAGAGCTCTATGGGACCCTGGTCAAAAGAAGTGCACTAAATAGGGAATAGGGTGCCATTTGGGACGCAGGACATACGTATGCACAGGCAGGTGCTCTGGTGCTGGAGTGGTCAATAGGAACACGTACTGCTGAAACAAGTGTAGCTCCCAGCACTCCAGAGGAGGCTGGTGGGAGGCGCTATAGGAGGACGGGCTCATGTTAATGGCTGGAATGGAATAAATGGAACGGAGTCAAATACATCAAACATATGGAAACCATGGAAACCACATACTTGACTCAGTTCCATAACTTCCATTACAGCCATTACAATGAGCCCATCCTCCTATAGCTCCTCCCACCAGCCTCCACTGCAGCACACAGACACACACACACACACACACACACACGCACACAACCCACTGGTAAACACACACACACACAACACACAACCCACTGGTAAACACACACACACACACACACACAAACCCACTGGTAAACACACACACGCACACAACCCACTGGTAAACACACACACACACACACACACAACCCACTGGTAAACACACACACACACACACACTGCTCAAACAGGTGACGCTAGCACAATTGAAGTGATTAGAGTCGTCTGTCTGTGTTAATGGAGGCACACGCGCAGAACAAACCCCTGGTACACTGCACTACTGCACAAACCACCTGTAAACCTCACTCTCCCACATCAATAACCACATGCTAACTAACGGGACACACAAGACACTCTTCCCCCTACTGTGACGACTAGACAGGTCAATTTGGTGATTACAGGGGTCGTTGTACTTAAGTGTTTTGTGTGGGCACTGTGGCGTAGGAAACATAATAGCCGAGGTACGCAAAGAACCAGAAAACCACGACATTTGCTTGCACCCCACAGCAGCACGGTATTAGTTAATCATAAAACAAGGAATGAAGACTGGGCATACAGTATAAGAATCCTCTTCTCACACTCACAAAATGTCTATGTAGCACTTCACTCAGAACACTAAACAGCTGGAGAGATGTGACAAACGAGGGTGTTCGGAGTAATCTGAAGAGGTAGTGGTAGAGGTTTCTGGGTGTGTCAGGGACTAATCTGAGAGTAGGGAAAAACTGAAAATCAGCTGAGTTAATTGAGAAGGCCTAGCAGAGGATTATCTAAGGATGTGTCAGAGATTAATGAAAGAAGTATGTCGGAGTTAATGTAATGAATGTGCTGAGTTAATCTGAAGAGTAGTGTCAGTAGCACTTCACTCGAACAGAGATGTCTGAGGATTAATCTGAGAGAGAATGTCGAGGTTTCAACTGAAGAGAGAGTGTCTGAGGTTAATCTGAAGAGAGTAGTGTCGTAGGTTAATCTGAAGAGAGTAGTGTTGAGAATTAATCTGAAGAGAGTAGTGTCGGAGGTTAATCTGAAGAGAGTAGTGTAGGTTTAATTGACAGAGAGTGTGTCTGATTAATCTAAGAGAGTAGTGTCTGACGGATTAATCTAAGAGAGTAGTGTCGAGGTTGAATCTGAAGAGAGAAGTGTCGAGGTTATCTGAAGAGAGTAGTGTCTGAGGATTAATCTGAAGAGAGTAGTGTCAGAGGTTTAATCTGAAGAGAGTAGTGTCTGAGGTTTAATCTGAAGAGAGTAGTGTCTGAGGATTAATCTGAAGAGAGTAGTGTCTAGGTTAATCTGAAGAGAGTAGTGTCAGAGGATTAATCTGAAGAGAGTAGTGTCTGAGGTTTAATCTGAAGAGAGTATTCGGAGGTTTAATCTGAAGAGAGTAGTGTCAGAGGTTTAATCTGAAGAGAGTAGTGTGAGGTTTAATCTGAAGATTCGTGTCTGAGGTTTAATCTGAAGAGAGTAGTGTCAGACGATTAATCTAAAGAGAGTAGTGTGAGGTTTAATCTGAAGAGAGTAGTGTTAGAGGATTAATCTGAAGAGAGTAGTGTCGAGGTTTAATCTGAAGGAGAAGTGTAGATATCTGAAGAGAGTAGTGTCGAGGATTAATCTGAAGAGAGTAGTGTCGGAGGTTTAATCTGAAGAGAGTAGTTTTGGGAGGTTAATCTGAAGAGAGTAGTGTCGGCGTTTAATCTGAAGAGAGTATAGGTTCGTCTGAGGTTTAATCTGAAGAGAGTAGTGTCGGAGGTTTATCTGAAGAGAGTAGTGTCGTAGGTTCAGTCTGAGGTTTAATCTGAAGAGAGTAGTGTCGGCGGTTTAATCTGAAGAGAGTAGTGTTGGAGAATTAATCTGAAGAGAATAGTGTCTGAGGTTTAATCTGAAAGAGTAGTGTCGGAGGTTTAATCTGAAGAGAGTAGTGTCGGAGGTTTAATCTGAAGAGAGTAGTGTCTGAGGTTTAATCTGAAGAGAGTAGTGTCGGAGGTTTATTCTGAAGAGAGTAGTGTCTGAGGTTTAATCTGAAGAGAGTAGTGTCGGCGGTTTAATCTGAAGAGAGTAGTGTCTGAGGTTTATTCTGAAGAGAGTAGTGTCTGAGGTTTAATCTGAAGAGAGTAGTGTCAGAGGATTAATCTGAAGAGAGTAGTGTCAGAGGTTAATCTGAAGAGAGTATGTCTGAGATTAATCTGAAGAGAGTAGTGTCGGAGGTTTAATCTGAAGAGAGTAGTGTCTGGGTTATCTGAGGTTATTTGAAGAGAGTAGTGTCTGAGGTTAATCTGAAAAGTGTAATGTCTGAGGATTAATCTGAAGAGAGTAGTGTCGGAGGTTTAATCTGAAGAGAGTAGTGTCGTAGGTTCAGTCTGAGGTTTAATCTGAAGAGAGTAGTATCAGAGAATTAATCTGAAGAGAGTAGTGTCGGAGGTTTAATCTGAAAAGAGTAGTGTCTGAGGTTTAATCTGAAGAGAGTAGTGTTGGAGAATTAATCTGAAGAGAGTAGTGTCAGAGGTTTAATCTGAAGAGAGTAGTGTCGGAGGATTAATCTGAAGAGAGTAGTGTCGGAGGTGTAATCTGAAGAGAGTAGTGTCGGAGATTTAATCTGAAGAGAGTAGTGTCGGAGGATTAATCTGAAGAAAGTAGTGTCTGAGAAATAATCTGAAAAGAGTAGTGTCTGAAAATGCATCCAAATGAGAAAAATCTATCTGGTCAAAATAGGTTTTTATGCATAAATGACAAATTCGATATGGAATATTTCATTTCAGATGTTTCTAATTTACTGTTTGTTAGTTGGATTTTAAATGTGTTAATTTTTCTCTCGGAATGTGACTAATTTCTCCAAACATCTCACATGTTGATTTGCATTTGGGTATCCTGGAGACTTCCAATATGTGAAACAGCAACCACACTGGCAACAAGATACATTACCGCAATATCATAATACCATAAACCCAATTTCTCACCCCAAGCATGTTGAAATAGCAACACCTATAGTGCAGTGCCATCCACCATCTGGTCATCTATCTCATGTCACCACCATCTAGTCTAGTGGGCCAGTAGATGGCCTGCTACTCTACGTCTGCGTCTCAAATAGCACGCTATATCTCATGTAGTGCACTACATTATAGTGCAGTCCAGGATGGGCTAAAAAGTAGGGCACTACATCAGGAATAGGATGAACTCCAGTCAAAAGTAGTGCACTACCTCAGGAATAGGATGGGACTCCGGTCAAAAGTAGTGCACTACCTCGGGATTAGGATGGGACTCCAGTCGAAAGTAGTGCACTGCATTTTGAATTGGATATGTTGGGCTATGGTCAACAGCAGTGCACTACATTTGGAATAGACTAGGTTGTGTCTCTGGTCAACAGCAGTGCACTACATAGGGAATAGGGTGTGATTTGAGACACAGCCCCTATAATAGCCCTGTTTTCTGCCCCTTCCTTCCAGATGATGGCCCTTACTCTAAAGGGAACAAAGACTCACAAGGGACAGACAATTCCCTGACCGCCAGGAGACAGAGTATCCCAGGTACACCACTGAGTTCCTTTACTCTCCGGCTGCTCATCTCAGCTCTCTCTCTCTCTCTCTGGTCTCTTTCTGGTCTCTCTGGTATGTCTCTGGTCTCTCCCTGGTATCTTTCTCACTGGCTCTCCATAGCTGACAGTTGTCTTTCTCTCTCTTAGTTTCTTTCTCTGGTTTCTCTGGCTCTTTGGCTTTGCAGTTCATCTCTCTCTCTCTAGTCTATTTCTCTATGGCTCCACACCTCACAGCTCTCTCTCTCTAGTCTCTTTCTCTCTGGCTCCACACCTCACAGCTCTCTCTCTCTGCTCTCGCTCTCTCTCTAGTCTCTTTCTCTCTGGCTCCACAACTCACAGCTCTCTCTCTCTGCTCTTGATCTCACTCTAGTCTCTTTCTCTCTGGCTCCCAACCCACAGGCTCTCTCTGCCTCTCCCCTCTCTTAGTCTATTCTCCTGGCCCTCCCACACCCACAGCTCCCTCTCTCTCTCTCGGGTCTCTTTCTATCTTCTTGCTCCCAACGCTCACAGCTCTCTCTCTCTCTCTGGTCTCTTTCTCTCTGGCTCCACACCTCACAGCTCTCTCTCTGCTCTCTCTCTCTCTCTAGTCTATTTCTCTCTGGCTCCACACCTCACAGCTCTCTCTCTCTCTCTCCCTCTGTCGCTTTCTACTCCTCCTTTCTTTGCTCCACACCTCACAGCGCTCTCTTCTCTCTCTCTCTCTCTCTCTCTGGTCTCTTTCTCTCTTGACTCCACACCTCACAGCTCTCTCTCTCTCTCTGGTCTCTTTCTATCTTGCTCCACACCTCACAGCCTCGCTTCTCCTCTCTCTGGTCTCTTTCTCTCTTGTCTCCTCTCTCTCAGCTCCTCTCTCTCTCTGGTCTCTTTCTCTTTCTTCTCTGGTCTCTTTCTCTCTGGTTCTCTCTCTCTGGTCTCTCGCTCTCTGTTCTCTCTCTCTCTGGTCTCTCTCTCTCTGGTCTCTTTCTCTCTGGTCTCTCTCTCTCTCCATGGTCTCTTTCTCTCTGGTCTCTTTCTCTCTGGCTTCTCTCTCTGGTCTCTCTGTCTGGTCTCTCTCTGTCTGGTTTCTCTCTGTCTGGTCTCTCTCTCTCTCTGGTCTCTCTGTCTGGTCTCTCTCTGTCTGATGTCTCTCTCATCTCTCTCTCTCTGGTCTCTCTCTCTCTGGCCTCTCTCTCTCTGGTCTCTTTCTCTCTGGTCTCTCTCTCTCTGGTCTCTTCTCTGGTCTCTCTCTGGTCTCTCTCCGTCTGGTTCTCTCTCGTTCTCTCTGTCTGGCTCTCTCTTCATCTCTCTCTCTCTGGTCTCTCTCTCTCTGGTCTCTTTCTCTCTGGTCTCTTTCTCTCTGGTCTCTCTCTGGTCCTCTCTCTGGTCTCTTCTCTCTGGCTCTCTCTGGTCTCTTCTCTGGTCTCTTTCTCTCCTGTCTGGTCTCTCTCTCTGGGTCTCTCTCTTCTGGTCTCTCTCTCTCTCTCTGGTCTCCTCTCTCTCTCTCTCTCTCTGGTCTCTCTCTGTCTGGTCCTCTCTCTCTCTCTCTGGTCTCTCTTTCTCTGGTCTCTTCTCTGGCTCTCTCTCTCTCCTCTGGTCTCTTCTCTCTGTCTGGTCTCTCTCTCCTCCTCTGGTCTCTCTCTCTGGTCTCTCTTCTGGTCTTTCTCTCTGGTTCTCTCTCTCTGGTCTCTTTCTCTCCTGGTCTCTCTCTCTTGGTCCTCTCTCTTTCTCTCTTGGTCTCTCTGTCGTCCTCTCTGTCTTTCTCTGGTCTCTCTCTCTCTGGCTCTCTGGTCTCTCTCCTGGTCTCCTCTCTCTCTCACTGGTCTTCTCTGTCTCTTCTCGTCTCTCTTGGTCTCTCTCCTGGTCCTCTTCTCTCTGGTTCTCTCTCTCTGGTCTCTCTCTCTGATGTCCTCTCTCTCTCTCTGGTCTCTCTCTGGTCTCTTTCTATCTGGATCTCTCTCTGCGTCTCTCTCTATGGTCTTCTTTCTCTCTGGTCTTCTTGGTCTCTCTCTCTCTCTCTCTGGTCTCTCTCAGTTTCTGATTTCTCTCTCGTCTCTCTCTCTACTCTCTGGTCTCTCTCTCTGGTTCCTCTCCTCTGGTCTCTCTCTCTCTATCTGGTCTCTCTCTTTCTGGTCTTCTAATTGTCTCACTCTCTGGTCTACTTTCTCTGTCTGGTCTCTCTCTGGTTCTCCTTCTCTCTGGTCTCTTTCTCTCTGGTCTCGCTCTCTGGTATCTCTCTCTCGTATCTCTCTCTCTGGGGTTCTCTCTCTCTCTGGTCTCTCTCTCTGGTCTCTCTTTTTCTCTGGTGTCTCTCTCTGTCTGGTCTCTCTCTGTCTGATTTCTCTGTTGTCTCTCTCTGGTCCCTCTCTCTGGTCTCTCACTCTGTCTGGTCTCTCTTTGTCTCTGGTCTCTTTCTCTGGCCTCTCTCTCTCTGGTCTCTCTCTCTGTGGTCTCTCTCGCTCTGGTCTCTTTCTCTCTGGTCTCTCTCTCTGGTCTCTCCCTTTCTCTCTGATCTCTCTCTCTCTCTCTCTGGTCTCTCTCTCTGGTCTCTCTCTCTGGTCTCTTTCTTTCTTTCTGATCTCTCTCTCTCTCTGGTCTCTCTCTGGTATCTCTCTCTCTCTGGTCTCTACTCTCTCTGGTATCTCTCTCTCTCTCTCCACAGTTCACAGTTCTCCTTCTTTCTTCCTCTAGCTCTTACTGTATCTCTCTCTCTCTCTTTGGTTTCTTCCTCTCTGACCGCTCATCTCTCTCTCTCTCTCTCTCTCTCTCTCTCTCTCTCTTAGCAGGGATGGCTTGATTCTGCCCTAGAGAGTACACACTACATTACACTACACTGCGCACCATGCCAAGTTCTAAACTAAAGCATGTAGATGATGATGATGATGATGATGATTTTCTCTGGTCTCTTTCTCTTAGGCCTCTCTCTCTGGTCTCTCTCTCTGTCTGGTCTCTCTCTATCTGGTATCTCTCTCTCTGGTCTCTCTCGCTCTCTCTGGTCTCCCTCCCTCTCTCTCTGGTCTGTCTCTGTCTGGTCTCTCTCTCTCTCTCTGGTCTCTTTCTCTCTGGTTTCTCTCTCTCTGGTCTCTCTCTCTTTTCTCTCTCTCTCTGGTCTCTCTCTCTGGTCTCTTTCTCTCTGATCTCTCTCTGGTCTCTCTCTCTGGTCTCTTTCTCTCTGGTCTCTCTGGTCTCTCTCTCTCTCTCTGGTCTCTCTCAGTCTGATTTCTCTCTCGTCTCTCTCTCTCTCTCTCTGGTCTCTCTCTCTGGTCTCTCTCTTTCTGGTCTCTCTCTGCTCTCTCTCTGGTCTCTTTCTCTGTCTGGTCTCTCTCTGGTCTCCTTCTCTCTGGTCTCTTTCTCTCTGGTCTCGCTCTCTGGTATCTCTCTCTCGTATCTCTCTCTCTGGTCTCTCTCTCTGGTCTCTCTTTTTCTCTGGTGTCTCTCTCTGTCTGGTCTCTCTCTGTCTGATTTCTCTGTTGTCTCTCTCTCTCTGGTCCCTCTCTCTGGTCTCTCACTCTGTCTGGTCTCTCTCTCTCTCTGGTCTCTCTCTCTGTGGTCTCTCTCGCTCTGGTCTCTTTCTCTCTGGTCTCTCTCTCTGGTCTCTTTCTCTCTGATCTCTCTCTCTCTCTCTGGTCTCTCTCTCTGGTCTCTTTCTCTCTGATCTCTCTCTCTCCTGGTCTCTCTCTGGTATCTCTCTCTCTCTGGTCTCTCTCTCTCTCTGGTATCTCTCTCTCTCTCTCCACAGTTCACAGTTCTCCTTCTTCCTTCCTCTAGCTCTTACTGTATCTCTCTCTCTCTCTATTTGGTTTCTTCCTCTCTGACTGCTCATCTCTCTCTCTCTCTCTCTCTCTCTCTCTCTCTCTCTCTCTCTCTCTCTCTCTCTCTCTCTCTCTCAGCAGGGATGGCTTGCTTCTGCCCTGGAGAGTACACACTACATTACACTACACTGTGCCAAGTTCTAAACTAAGGCATGTAGATGATGATGATGATGATGATGGGGAGTCTGTATTCTGCTGCTCATACTCCCTGGTCGTGTTCGCTCTTCCTCTTATTTTCATGTTGCAAAGTGTTGTGGGATGATAACTGTAATTAGCTTGATGTATAGTGGGGGGTAACATCAAACATACAGGATGTCTTCTTTCTTCAGCAGTTGTGTCAGAACACAGTGCTCCGTTCTTCCAGAACCATGACTGCTGTACAGAAATACTACCTAACTCATTATGATAAAAGAGAGCCGTGTTACGCTCTTACGGTGCTTAATGTCAAAATATGTAATATTTGAAGAAGTATAACGTTCACCATATACATTGTGATTTAAAATGGAATCCTCTAGACTAGCACCAGCTTGTATTTCAACACAGTATTTCATCTCAAATTTCAACATTTCACGGTGCTTTAAGTTCAGACTGTGTCCCGAGGCTAAATGTGAAGTGGTATAATTATAGTGTGTTGTTATTGGGGCTGTTGTGGTGACCGTATTACCGCCACACCGGCAGTCACGAGTCATGAAGGCAGTCAAATTCCACGTGACCGTTTAGTCACGGTAATTAGGCTTCTCCAAGCTCTGATGCTGCTGATGGTCATTAGTAGCCTACCAAACTTGCTAACTGCCTGGTACTCAGCACTCTATTGTCCCTGTAATCACTCTGACATCAATGCAAATGTAATCGAAAATCTAATCAAACACTTCATGAGAGCCCATGAGCTCATGTTGCGCAACATTTCAATAGGCTATGTAATTGCGAGAGAAAACTGAGTGATGGCCTCTATTAAAAAGAGGAGGATCCCATCAGCTTTCTATAGGCTAGGCCTACTATATTTATTTCTCAAATCTCCTAATATTAAGCACATTGCTTATATTTACAACAGGAGTATAGCCTACCTGGCTGGCATGAAAATGATCCACGGGAAAAGCCTCCTCCATTCACTATTTATGTGCATATATGATATATGTATTTTTTCCCCTGCCCCAGTTTCGAGACAGGTGCATGATAATGGTCTGTTCAAAATCATAAAAAATGTCACACATACATTATTTAATATATGTAAAGACAATATTAAATCAAGAATAGTCTGATGGGTGACAATATTAGCCTATCACTTGAATGATGCCCAGCATAAGGAAAGTGTCACGTTCGTTGAATGACGGGTCAGACCAAGGCGTAGCGTGATATACGTACATGTTTATTAAACTTAATAAACACACGACAAAACAACAACGGAAACGAAACGTGAAGTCCTAAGGTTGTACATACAACGAACCTTACCCGGAACAAGATCCCACAACTAGACAGTGCCAATAGGCTGCCTAAGTATGGTCCCCAATCAGAGACAACGAGCGACAGCTGCCTCTGATTGGGAACCACACCGGCCAACATAGATAATACAACATAGAACATACACAACAAAGAATATACACACCCTGACTCAACATATAAGAGTCCCCTGAGTCAGGGTGTGACAGAAAGAAACAATGCCTTTTTTTTGCGACTTTTTCGAATCATAGTCGCACACCTCATGTAGCCTAGCCCGTAGGCCTATATGTTTTAATAAGGTTTGTAAGCAGCGTGTGAGTTTCAAGTTTGGGGGAGATAAGTAGGGCGGCAGGTAGCTTAGTGGGTAAGAGCGTTGTGCCAGTAACCGAAAGGTCGCTGGTTCTAATCCCCGAGCCGACTAGGTGAAAAATCTGTCGATGTGCCCTTGAGCAAGGCACTTAACCCTAATTGCTCCTGTAAGTCGCTCTGGATAAGAGCGTCTGCTAAATGACTAAAATGTAAAAATGTAAATGTATAATTTTCACCATAAAAATGCACCTTTATAATAAAAGCATTACATGCATAATCGCAGTTGCGGTCACTTTTTATAATTGTGTTTTCCCGCTAATGGAACACTAGCGCTTATAGTCTACTGCATTGCTGCGCTTATAATGTGAAGAAATAGCCTATTCGTTTATCACATTTTAAGCTAAATGTTCTAATCTGTTGCGTTAGCCTCATTTTTTTAAATGCTAGTGGTTGTATTCATTTGGAGCTATCGCATCCCACAACTGTCCCACACTATGTTTGGAATATTAATTTCTCGCACAAAATATAATTGGTCAACTTTGCACTATGGGGGATAGTAGATTGACATAGGCTAGTGTTTTTGCTGTTCGTTAGGCCTACTCATCTTGTTGGCTGACGAAAAGTAAATGTGAACAGTTCTTCCAATATCTTCAATATGCACCTCGGAATTGGATAAGGACGCGCGCAGTTGCGTCCCCGATGTGTCTGTCTTCACTTGTAGCCTGTGAAAAATACCTGATCACATGCTGGAGAGCCATGTGAGTGAGAGGTGCTTCGGAGCGTGCAGCACTCAGGGAGAAGGGCACAACGCAGCACTCCAGGCCAAGGGCACAACGGCCACTGGCCGCAAAGGGGTGTATTATGGCCACACAAAGGGGATGCCACCGGGATATTCGAGGCATTATCAAGTGCTTGTCAAATTGTGAATGAGAGACTGATGAAGTGTGTACAGCCTGCGCAAAAAAACTAAGCAGAGCTCATGAAAAAATCAAAACATATGTCAGAGGAAGGCCCTAAAAATTGCCAAAAGCCTCCAGCCATCCTAGTCATAGACTGTTCTCTCTGCTACCGCACGGCAAGCGGTACCGGAGCGCCAAGTCTAGGTCCAAAAGGCTTCTTAACAGCTTCTACCCCCATAAGACTGCTGAACAGCTAATCAAATGTCTACCTTGGACTATTTGCATTGAATCCCCCTTTATTTTGTATTATTATTTGTTTGTACGCTGCTGCTACTCGCTGTTTATTATCTATGCATAGTCACTTTATCCCTACCTACACGTACACCACCAGTCAGAAGTTTGGACACACCTACTCATTCCAGGGTTTTTCTTTATTTTTTCTATTTTCTACATTGAAGAATAATAGTGAAGACATCAAAACTATGAAATAACACATATGGAATCATGTAGTAACCAAAAATGTGTTAAACAAATCCAAATGTATTTTATATTTGAGATTCTTCAAATAGCCATAACAGTATAATCTTGGTTTCATCAGACCAGAACATTTTGTTTCTCATGGTCTGAGAGTCTTTAGGTGCCTTTTGGCAAACTCCAAGCGGGCTGTCATGAGCCTTTTACTGAGGAGTGGCTTCTGTCTGGCCACTCTACCATAAAGGCCTGATTGGTGGAGTGCTGCAGAGATGGTTGTCCTTCTGGAAGGTTCTCCCATCTCCACAGAGAAACTCTAGAGCTCTGTCAGAGTGACCATCAGGTTCTTGGTCACCTCCCTGACCAAGACCCTTCTCCCCCGATTTCTCAGTTTGGCCGGGCGGCCAGCTCTAGGAAGAAGAGTCTTAGTGGTTCCAAACATTTTCCATTTAAGAATGATGGAGGCCACTGTGTTCTTGGGGACCTTCAATACGGCAGAAATGTTTGTGCCTCGACACAATCCTGTCTCGGAGCTCTAAGGACAATTATTTTGACCTCATGGCTTGGGTTTTGCTCTGACATGCACTGTCAACTGTGGGACCTTATATAGACCGTTGTGTGCCTTTCCAAATCATGTCCAATCAATTGAATTTACCACAAGTGGACTCCAATCAAGTTGTAGAAACATCTCAAGGGTGATCAATGGAAAAAAGGATGCACCTGAGCTCAATTTCGAGTCTTATAGCAAAGGGTCTGAATAAGGTATTTCTTTCTAAAAACCTGTTTTCACTTTGTCATTATGGGGTATTGTGTGTAGATTGTTGAGGAAAATGTTTTATTGAATCCATTTTAGAATAAGGCTGTAACGTAACAAAATGTGGAAAAAGTCAAGGGGTCTGAATACTTTCCGAAGGCACCCTATAATGTATACTGTCCATTGACTCTGTGTTTCTGTGTGTTCTTGTGGTTGTGAAGGCTTGGTTACTATATGATGTCTACTGTCCATTGACTCTGTGTTTGTTTGTTCTTGTGGTTGTGTTTGGGGTAGAAGATCTGCGGGGCGTGACGATAGTAGAGCTGATTAAGAAGGAAGGCAGCACCTTGGGCCTCACCATCTCTGGAGGAACAGACAAGGATGGAAAGCCCCGTGTCTCTAACCTACGGCCGGGAGGACTGGCTGCCAGGTGAGATCTCTATTGTTTACAGTATTCCAGCATAGACCATTATATTATGTGTTAGCTTGTTCCTCTGTCTCATACCATCATGGAATTCTTTCATATCATTATTTTGTATCTAATCAACCCAAAACATCGAAAGCAATGGCCAGGTGAGATCTCCATTCTCCACCAAAACACACAGGAGAGAGAGAGCAGCTCTTCCATACACTGAGTATACAAAACATTAAGAACACCTGCTCTTTCCATGACATAGACTGACCAGGTGAATCCAGCTGAAAGATATGATCCCTTATTGATGTTACTTGTTAAACCCACTTGAATCAGTGTAGATGAAGGGGAGGAGACAGGTTAAAGAAGGATTTTTAAACCTTGAGAGAATTGAGACATGGATTGTGTAATTCAGAGGGTGAATGGGCAAAAATGTAAGTGCCTTTGAACGGGGTATGGTAGTAGGTGCCAGGCGCACCGGTTTGTGTCAAGAGCTGCAACACTGCTGGGTTTTTCACGCTCAACAGTTTCCCGTGTGTATCAAGAATGGTCCACCACCCAAAGGACATCCAGCCAACTTGACACAACTGTGGGAAGCAATGGAGTCAACATGAGACAGCATCGCTGTGGAACGCTTTCGACACCTTATAGAGTCCATGCCCGGCGAATTGAGGTTGTTCTGAGGGCAAAAGAGGGGGGGGTGGTGCAACTCAATATTAGGAAGGTGTTCCTAATGTTTGGTATATTCAGTGTACGTAAGACAGCACTACATGTTTTCTGCCTAGAATAGACTAGAAACATTTTATTGTCCATTAAAATGGAACTGACAGCAGTTTAACTACCTTGCCGCTATGAAACAAACAGACAATCATAATATCAGTCAAAGAAATCTAATTCCCAGTTGATGCTACAAAACCAACTTAAAGTTCAATGACGTACAGTAAGCCATTGTTGGCAGAATAGATGGATGCAGTTCAATGCATGATTCATATAGCTAATTCACCAATACATTTCTTGGTTGTCCTACAAATATTGCTATCAGGTTTTAAATCACAGCTGGCCTGGTATATTTTTCGCTGCAACCAGCCATTCGGGATGCACTTTTTTTCAGTTTCAATGACTCAATATTTTTGACAAAACAAATTGACCAACGTAACCAAGGCTGTGAATGTCAATACAATCAAACTAGCAAAGTCAATGATCACAAGTCAGTCATAACGTGGCTAATAGGCTAGCGTATCTATTTATTTAGCGATCTAAAAGCACTGAGCCAAACGTTGGAAGGATGTCATGTCCTTTGGTGAGTGGCCGACTTTTTCACCCCCATATCGTTTTTTCTGTTGCTACAGCTAGAGGTGCAGGTATCATTTGGTTAGCTAGCAAGAAACGTGAATCATATAGCTAGTGTTGGGTTCTATTTTTCTCATAATTGGATCTGTATGTGATGAATAGCTGGGAAGGAATGCATTAATGAGGAGCATAGGTTTGAACTGTACTGATATGGATTGTTTCACATAGCAGGCTGTGATTCATGTGGGGAACGTTAGGGGCTAGGATGAGATAAGACTTGTATTTCTCACAGATACGAACACTCTCTCTTTGTTGTCTGTGAAACCGTCCTTGAACGTGGGTACATGGAGTACAGTGGAATGGTGTCTTTTGGGTGCTGACTCCACAGGTTATTATGATAGCAACTTATGCCTGGGAACGGTGAAGTGCCAAGGGGTGGGACTAACCCGTGCACCAACGGATTGGCTGAGTGGAGTCTGGACCACACTCAGTCCTTTGCTCTGGTTGGCCAACAGAAGAGGTGGAGGCTTTCTGTCAGAGTATTTGAAGAAGAACTTAGAACAATGGATCAGTTCTCTGAGTGCCCTGCGTGGTATTTCAGTGGACCCGTATATACGAACCTTCATACTTATCATACATACATTTTGCATATAATAAATTAAGCTTGGATTGAAGATCTCTTGATTCTTATTCCAATACCAGATTTGAATTACGCAATTTCTAACACTAGCTATGCTAAACTTGAACGACTGCTATCGACAGTTAGCGTAGCTCTTAGCTGTCAATCAAATGTATTTGGCATCGATCAAATGGGAGGGCAGCCGGGCAAGTTCCCATTCAGTTGTCAAAACGTGGGTTGGGAGAAGCATGCATTGGCAGACAAGCTGCAGAAGGACAAGCAGGCTAGTATTCCCCATCGTTTATCAGTGCAATTTTAACGGGCCAACTACAAGCTAAAGAAGTTTGAGGGGGTTTATCTACTGTTCCCTCTTTAGATTTGAGCTCATCTCGCTCTGGCTAACATGAGTTGTTGATCTTGTTGTTGATGTGCATAGGCAACTGAGGAACAGAGCCTATAGGACTGTAAAGTTCCCAAATGTAAAAGGACTCATGGTATTTACATATTTGCATAAATCCATTCAGGTGTATTTTGTGGCTTTTGGCGAATGCTTTCTAATGTTGAAAAGTTGCGCTGTTGCTACTGCCTGTAAATACACAGTCCAGCTCAAAGTGAATGGTGGCAGGCCCGTGTGGCAAATGGCTTATTTGCGTATAGGCCTACCATAGCTCTGATTGGCTATGGCGCACCGGTCTGTGTAGAGTCCGGCCCTGAGGTGCGTTCAGTTCGCTTGAACGTTTGCTACGTTGTAGAACGGTTTGTACTGAACGACACGTTTTCCAAAAATGTTCTTGTAAGTTCTTGAATAGACTTTGAGGTACGTTTGCTCCCGTTTGGTGGTTGTGGCGAGGTTTGGCTTGAAGCAATGAGTGACTTATTTAAAGGGTAGTGGCCATGCTGACAACGTTTCCGTTCAATTGAACGTTCCAGAACGTAAAAACGTACTGAACGCAGCCCTGGAAAAGACTGAGACGTTTTTATTAGGTTTTATTTTCTGCAGTGTCTATCAATTTTCCAAACGCATGGCCGCTTTCCCACTCTATATTGCTACAGAATTTTCACTTCTCAGAATATGTATAAAATAAAATATTAAGAGGTTTTAAAAATATTTTATGTTGCTAAACTGCTGTCAGTTCCCACTTGAATGTATATAAAATAAAACAAATCCTTCCACTCTGCTAGACCACCATTCCCTCACTTTTACTGAATGTGCATTCATGCAGCCTCAGTACAGGACAACATGTTCCTTGACTAGCGCCTAGACCTCCATCCCCTCGGCCACCATTCACAGCCACAGATGCAGTCATGCTGTATCAGCTAATCAGACCCTGATGTAGGAAGAACCATCTGACGTTTCATTTCACTAGAAGGCAGAGTTCCAAAGGAATGTTTAAGGACTAGGATGATGACGCTAAAAATAGGCGCATAGTCTTATGTCATTATGTGTAAAGATACTGACTGACCTGTCTGTCTTTTTAAAGAAGGCGTTCCCCGGAGGAGACTTACGGTTGAGCTGCTCTGCTTGAACCTTAGCTGGACAATTTATATAGAAAGTGGCTTTTATCCAAAGCTGTCTGACTCTGAATAAAGAAAGTGGGACATGTAAAAGTCTGAATTAATCTCATGACTGGCATATTTAATTCAGATACAATATCAGCTAAATGAGCAATGTACCAAAGATAAAGCAGTATTTATTATGTGAGCAGTGTTGCTGTTCAGGCGTATGGTGCTTCACAGTGACTGTGGGAAGACACTAATGGTTGAGACTCCTAGATTGCAGCATAATAGCCTATTGGCATTGTTGATCTGTCAGCATGTGTATCTGTCAACACTTTCATCTCTAGTGGGTGTATGAGAAGTCCTTTAATCTAGTGGGTGTATGAGAAGTCCTTTAATCTAGTGGGTGTATGAGAAGTCCTTTAATCTAGTGGGTATATCAGAAGTCCTTTAATCTAGTGGGTGTATGAGAAGTCCTTTAATCTAGTGGGTGTATGAGAAGTCCTTTAATCTAGTGGGTGTATGAGAAGTCATTTAATCTAGTGGGTGTATGAGAAGTCCTTTAATATAGTGGGGTGTATGAGAAGTCCTTTAATCTAGTGGGTATATCAGAAGTCCTTTAATCTAGTGGGTGTATGAGAAGTCCTTAATCTAGTGGGTGTATGAGAAGTCCTTAATCTATGGGGTGTATGAGAAGTCCTTTAATCTAGTGGTGTATGAGAAGTCCTTTAATTTTAGGGGTGTATGAGAAGTCCTTTAATCTAGTGGGTGTATGAGAAGTCCTTTAATCTAGTGGGTGTATGAGAAGTCCTTTAATCTAGTGGGTGTATGAGAAGTCATTTAATCTAGTGGGTGTATGAGAAGTCCTTTAATCTAGTGGGTGTATGAGAAGTCCTTTAATCTAGTGGGTATATCAGAAGTCCTTTAATCTAGTGGGTGTATCAGAAGTCCTTTAATCTAGTGGGTATATCAGAAGTCCTTTAATCTAGTGGGTGTATGAGAAGTCATTTAATCTAGTGGGTGTATGAGAAGTCATTTAATCTAGTGGGTGTATGAGAAGTCCTTTAATCTAGTGGGTGTATGAGAAGTCCTTTAATCTAGTGGGTGTATGAGAAGTCCTTTAATCTAGTGGGTATATGAGAAGTCCTTTAATCTAGTGGGTGTATGAGAAGTCCTTTAATCTAGTGGGTATATCAGAAGTCATTTAATCTAGTGGGTGTATGAGAAGTCCTTTAATCTAGTGGGTGTATGAGAAGTCCTTTAATCTAGTGGGTGTATCAGAAGTCCTTTAATCTAGTGGGTATATCAGAAGTCCTTTAATCTAGTGGGTGTATGAGAAGTCCTTTAATCTAGTGGGTATATCAGAAGTCCTTTAATTACATTTACATTTACGTCATTTAGCAGACGCTCTTATCCAGAGCGACTTACAAATTGGTGCATTCACCTTATAGCCAGTGGGATAACCACTTTACAATGTTTTTTTTTTTTTTTTTTGGGGGGGGGGGGTGGGGTAAGGGGGGATAGAAGGATTACTTTATCCTATCCCAGTTATTCCTTAAAGAGGTGGGGTTTCAAATGTCTCCGGAAGGTGGTGAGTGACTCCGCTGTCCTGGCGTCGTGAGGGAGCTTGTTCCAACATTGGGGTGCCAGAGCAGCGAACAGTTTTGACTGGGCTGAGCGGGAACTATGCTTCCGCAGAGGAAGGGGAGCCAGCAGGCCAGAGGTGGATGAACGCAATGCCTTCGTTTGGGTGTAGGGACTGATCAGAGCCTGAAGGTACGGAGGTGCCGTTCCCCTCACAGCTCCATAGGCAAGCACCATGGTCTTGTAACAGATGCGAGCTTCAACTGGAAGCCAGTGGAGTGTGCGGAGGAGCGGGGTGACGTGAAAGAATTTGGGAAGGTTGAACACCAGACGGGCTGCGGCATTCTGGATGAGTTGTAGGGGTTTAATGGCACAGGCAGGGAGCCCAGCCACAGTGAGTTGCAGTAATCCAGAGGGAGATGACAAGTTGCCTGGATTAGGACCTGTGCCGCTTCCTGTGTAAGGGCAGGGTTCCGTACTCTCCGAATGTTGTAGAGCAATGAACCTGCAGGATCGGGTCACCGCCTTGATGTTAGCGGAGAACGACGGGTGTTGTCAGGGTCACGCAAGGCTCTTCGCACTCTGGGAGGAGGACACAACGGAGTGTCAACCGTGATGGCGAGATCATGGAACGGGCAGTCCTTCCCGGGAGGAAGAGCAGCTCCGTCTTGCCAGGTTCAGCTTGAGGTGGTGATCCGTCATCCATACTGATATGTCTGCCAGACATGCAAGAGATGCGATTCGCCACCTGGTTATCAGAAGGGGAAGGGGGTATGAGAAGTCCTTTAAAACTAGTGGGTGTATGAGAAAAGTCCTTTACATCTAGTGGGTGTATGAGAAGGTTCTTTAATCTAGTGGGTGTATGAGAAGTCCTTTAATCTAGTGGTGGGTCCTTAATCTAGTGGGGTATAGCAGAAGTCCCTTTAATCTAGTGGGTGTAATGAGAAGTCCTTTAATCTAGTGGGTGTATGAGAAGTCCTTTAAACTAGTGGGTGTATGAGAAGTCCTTTAACTAGTGGGTGTATGAGAAGTCCTTTAATCTAGTGGGTGTATGAGAAGTCCTTTAATCTAGTGGGTGTATGAGAAGTTTTCAAACAAAGTGTAATGTATTATTTATCACAGCCGTACGGTGGTATATGGGTAGGCTTTGTAACATGGGGTATTTGATTGACATTCTCTCTACTTGTTGACAAACTCTCTCCTTTCTCCAAACTCTCTACCTACACGTACTACTCTACCTCACAATGCTATTATAAGAAACCCAACATCAGAAACAATTTTCCTGTGGAGTCAGCCTTGAATACTTCAAACCACAAGTGATCTATCTGGCACTCAGAACCAACAAAGAACGCGTTGATTAACTCTCAGTCTGGTCCAATCTGTTTGTCTGTGTGGAACTCGGAACCAGAATGTTGTGTTGTAGAATAGATGGAATATGATTTTTGTCCTGAAATGTGTTTTCTCCCAAACTAGTTGCCAAACTGCAGAGTTTGATTGTTATCGATTTAGGAAAGTATTGATTTGAAATTATGTTTAAGAGAGTAAGATTTGAACCAACGTCATGTTATTCATCTGTCGTAGATCCTGAATCCTATAGGTTTAATGAAAGGTGGGATCTATAATTATCAGCTAGATAATGTTGTATCTATGGTCCTGTGTAATGAGTGATCAGCTAAACGATTGTGACTACATCAAGTCAGTCAACGGTATCAACCTGACCAAGCTGATGTCAATTGATATAATGATATGATAATCATATAGATAATTTATGTTTTATTTATGTCTTTATGTTCCTGTCCTAGGAGTGATCAGTTGAACGTGGGCGACTACATTAAGTCAGTGAATGGTATCAACCTGACCAAGCTGAGACATGAAGAGATCATCAGTCTGTTGAAGAACGTGGGAGAGCGAGTGGTGCTGGAAGTGGAGTATGAACTGCCCCCATCAGGTAGGAGGCTGATTATTGTTCTTGGGTTGTAGTCTGAATTCAAACTCCACCCCTAGCTCCTATACCTGCTAGGCACATCTGTAGGAAAGGATTGGATTTGTCCCAAAAATATGGTGAAATGCCACCTATCCTATCAAAGGCCGAGCTGGATCTTTTACCATACTGCTAATACTACCAATCTAATCTCCTGATATCTAAACTCAGGTCTATAGGAGTGCCCGGGGGGGGGCAGGGACCAGGGGGCAGGGACCAGGGGTCAATCTGGAACTTGGCGGTAATGTGAGTTTTCTCAACCACATGACCTGCTCAGGGAAAAACTACAGGTCCCAGTTATCACCTTCTGCCTAGAGTTTGACCTGCTCAGGTCACGTGGTCTGCCAGTCTGACATTAGGGTTGCCAGTAAGACGCCAGTGTGTTCCCTGACCTTCCATTGTAGTAAAACAGACAGTTAACACAGCCAATTGAACTTTACAAGCCTAACCGAATCTGCCTGACCTTTGTGATTTGTAATAATGAATCTGTCTATTTATCTTTGCTGTCCGCTGGTTCCTGGTAGCGAGCCCAGTAAAACCTGTGATTTAATGGTGGTGACATCATTTATAAGCCTCTCCCTTCCTGTATCTCTCTCTCTCTCTCTCTCGCTCACTCTCTCTCTCTTTCTCTCTCTTCTCTCTCTCTCTCTCTCTCTCTACTTCTCTCTCTCTCTCTCTTCTCTCTCTCTCTCTCTCTCTCTCTTCTTCCTCTCTCTCTCTCTTCTCTTTCTCTCTCTCTCCTCTCTCTCTCTCTCTCTCTCTCTCTCTCTCTCTCATTTCTGTCTCTCTCTCTCTCTCTCTCTCTCTCTCTCTCTCTCACCCCCAGCACCAGACAGTACCTCAGGCGTGATTTCCAAGACAATGGAGATATGTTTGCACAAAGAAGGCACCAGCTTCGGCTTTGTCATGAGAGGTACTACGCTATGCATTCATTACGCAGGCTGCGTCTGAAATGGCTCCCTATATAGGGCTCTGGTCAAAAGTAGTGCACTATGTAGGGAATAGGGTGCCATTTGGGATACAGCCTATCCATTCATTACACATGTGTCAAACTCATTCCACGGAGGGCCGAGTGTCTGCGGGTTTTTGCTCCACCCCTTGTACTTGATTGATGAATTAAGGTCACTAATTAGTAAGGAACCTCACCTCACCTGGTTGTCTAGGTCTTAATTGAATGGAAAAACCAAAAACCCGCAGACACTCGGCCCTCCGTGGAATGAGTTTGACACCCCTGATATACACAGACAAACCTAGTACCCTCCCGTTTCCACTACAGTCATGGTTGATTGTGTTCCAGTCACAGCTGACCCATAAAGGAGAACACTCAAATTAATTTAAGCTAGCCTCAGCAGTCCACCAATTGGAAATGCTAATTTCTTAACAATGCAATCCACAGATCAATAAAAGACAAAAGTAATTTAGGCTGTAGGGAAATCAATCCAATATTTACAGCACAGTTAGCATGGAAAATCTGTTTTAACTGTGGATGTCAGAAAAGATTAGCGAAACTGAGTAAAATATTCTTCAACACAAATATTCTTGAGATTCTTCAATGCATACTTTTATTAGACAATAGTTTTGATGCAAATGAATATACTGTATATAACATAATATATGCCATTTAGCAGATGCTTTGTCCAACTTACAGTCATGTGTGAATACATTTTTCATGTGGGTGGCCCCGGTGGGAATCGAACCCACGATCCTTGGCGTTGCAAGCACCATGCTCTACCAACTGAGCCACACAGGACCAAATCGATGTTGGTCAGGCAGATGCCCTATTAAAAGTGATGACTGTATTACCAAACCACTTCCTCAAGCGGTCTGTTTTATGTGATGTTTCAGGGGGCTCACACGAAGACTGGAACAAAGCTCGCCCCCTTGTGGTGACATACGTCAGACCAGGAGGTCCTGCAGACAGGTAAAGTGGAACATGGTGGGATGTATTCCATATGACACCCTATTCCCCATCTAGAATGGAATAGACTACGAAAGAAAATAATAAAATAGAATATAATATTACTTTATTTTGTTTTCCGCTTTGCTCCCACAAGATATAACACACATTTTTAAGAGGAGCACAGGGGTCTGCTGCAGTACCGTATTACCTCCCAACAGGTAACACCGTAACACCTCCACTTCGCTGATCCTCAACACAGGGGCCCCACAAGGGTGCATGCTCAGCCCTTTCTCCGTTAACCTACCCCCCACCCGCCCCCATCTCACAAGGG